TAAAAGCAAAAATTTTCTTTCAAGAGTATAAATTTTCATTTTTTGAAAATATTTTAGTTTTTTTGTTTTTGACTACCCATAATGCTTTATTCGTGTTTAAAACTTGTTATATTAGTTATATGTGTTTGCTAAAGTTTCTGGTCTAATTCTAGTTTTTTTTCATTAACAATTTTAAAATTTTACAAATCAACATCCCAAGAAAGTGTGTAAATTTTGGGGACTATTTTTGTTACATTTTGCCTCATTTGAAGACTTTTTACCAGCATTACTATGATATGAAGGTAGGGGACCAGGACCAGGATAAGTCAAGATCTCCACATATATGCAGAAAATGAAGGCAGAAATAAAGTAGAAATAGAAAAAAAAAAGAAGAAAACAAATCTTCTACTTCAAATGATCCTGATTTTGTGTTAACAGATAATGTGCCAGATTGAGTCTAGCAAAATTAAGTAATCTTGTTCGAGATTTGGACTTGTCACAGGAAAAGGCAGAACTTCTAGGCTCAAGACTAAAGAAGTGGAATCTTCTTCAATTTGATATCAAGGTTTCGCATTACAGAAAACGGCAGCAGAAACTTCTTTCTTTTTTTGTGAAGAAAAATAATCATGTTGATTGCATTGATTAATTATTGCATTGTCTTATTTTGAACTATGATCCAACTGAATGGAGATTATTCATAGACTCATCTAATTTAAGCTTTAAAGCTGAGTGATTTGTGGATTTTTACGTAACAAAAGAGATAATAACTACATTCAATTGGTAACAGTACTTCTGCAAAAATACCATCAACATGGATGTATCATGTCCTTCAAGATTCATTTCCTCCACTCACACCTAAACTTCTTCCCGACCCTCCTCTAGTTATGGAGCTGTTAGTGATGAACACGGGAAAAGATTTCACCAAGTTATTTCTGTAATGAAACAAATATATCAGGGTTGTTAGAATGAGACTATGCTTGTAGATTACCATTGGTTTGTGTGTAAGAATGCCCCAAATCTAATCTAAAAAAGGAAAGCAAAAAGATCACGATCTCGTAACGAAACTCATAATCATTTTTACACCTATTACCAAAGTACTATTACTAAAGTGATTTTGATTCTTTTTATTACAAATACCCGGTGGGAAATGAGCTAGCGACTAGCTAGCTTTATAGCGATTTTCTAGCGATTTTTTTTTCCAATTTTATTATTTCCTTATGTCTTTAACATCTTTAAAAATTCGATTTTTAGTGTTGAGTCTATTATAATTATGAGGATATTCGAACGATAAACATTGCGATTTTGTAGCAATGTGTCGTTAGCTACATATCGTAGCTTTGTAGCTAGCTACAAAATATCTACAAATCTATAGCTAGTTGATAGCTTTATATCCAACTTTTTTAGACAACGACTTTATTACAATATGATGCTAGCTACAATGGCCAGTGGGTCTTTAGCTTATCAAGCTGGCTGTCCTCTTAACCGAATGTCTGTCTTGATCTTTACAAATATCGATAGCTTTTCGCTAACCTAAAAAAAGCTAGCGATCCTCGTGGCCTAATCGTTGTCTTTATTGTTACGAGTATAGCTAGCTATTCGCTAGCCGGTTTCCCACCGGGTTTATTCAAACATTTTTCAACAAAGAAATCATGATGATCATTAAGCTAATTGTTAAGCCCGTTCTCCATTCAGAACTTTTTGCGCTTTGCAGAAGCGGAGAAGTTCTTTGAGCATGCGCAAACAGTTTTTTTAAGCCCGTTCTCCAATCAGAACTTTTTGCGCATGCTCAAAGAACTTTTCCGCTCCTTCAAAGCGCAAAAGGTTTTGAATGGAGAACGGGCTTTAGCTTAATGATCATGATTTCTTTGTTGAAAACTGTTTGAATATATTTGTAATAAAAAAAACCAAATGTACTTTAAATATTATTAGAATATGTAAATTGTATGTCATATTGCTCTGTTGCAAATCAACTGAAATAAAAATTTATTGCTATTGTATATCTCAGAAGCTAGAATTAATAAAAAATTTTTGCTGTCGTTTTCTTTTTTCTGATCCCAAAACTAGTATAATTGAAATAAAATTACTAAAGATACAAAAAAAAAAAAATTTTTTTGATGCCCGGTGAAATTATTTTAAAATATAGTAATTTGACGGTACCCCAATTAGATATAAAAAACCATTAAAAATGGCGCAACGAAACGGCAAGCAACAACTTTCTTATAAACTTTATATTAAATGAATGGAATGTTACACGAATGAATGGAATTATGGTATACAGCTAATGAAATTTTAAGCTTTAGTAATTAAGAATTTTTTTTTTTTTTTTAATTGTGTTAGCTGTCTTTTTAAGTAAATGTAGTGTTATAGTTTGAAACAAGAAAAAAAGCTTAATGCTTTTAGAATAAAGTGATTCTATTTAATTACCGAGTTTTAATAAACCTTTTGTTGAATAATTACAATTACGGTTAGAACTATGTAGCATATCTTTTTTAATGTTTTAATAAATATCATTTCAGTGAATTTTGTTGTTTTTTGTACAGTGAAACTTGTTTTATTTTATTTTCGGTTACGTCTTAAAATTGCTTTGATGTTCGCAGCATGATAAACTTCAAGGTAGATGATAGAATCAAAAACCTATTCCGACGTTGCTGGGCGACAAGGCAAAATTATAAAACAAAAGACCACACTTAACATATAAATATATTTAGAAGTAAATTATAAAGATATACTTTGTTTTTTACGCTACGCAATTATTAAAAACATTAATTTATTATCGGGTCATTAATTTACACAAAACTTCAAACGTCGGAATAGGTTTTTGATTCTATCATCTACCAAACTTCAAAAACTTTAGTTTTATACTTCCATGTTTAAACTAAAACTTTAGTTTTATACTTCCATGTTTAAACCATGATGCTATTATTTTTTAGTTCTTTAGTTTTTTAATATTTTTTAGTTCTTTTGTTTTTAATACTTTTTAGTTCTTTAGTTTTTAATATTTTAGTTTATTATATAGACATTTTACCCCAATTTAAAAAATTTTGAAGTTTTTGATATTTTAATAAAAATAATTACTAATAAATACTAGAAAACGACATAAAATTACAGACTTGCACATAAATACTAGAAGACGATATACAATTACCGGCTGCTAAGTAAATACTAGAAGACTTTTTTTGCTTTTTTCAAAAATTGCTTTCATGTTTACGGCTTGAAGAATTTAAAATCTTATTGTGTATATTCTAATATTTCCATAATTAGCTTAAACTTTGATATCTTTAGATTGTTTCGGAATATAATTAATTAATTATTGGAGAGTTAAATTTAAATTGTTTTCTGAAGAATAAAGATTATTTTATCACAATTCTTTTCTATAAACAATGCTTTTTAAATCGTAGTAAGTTTTTAAGTAAAAAATATTTGCAGTTAAGTGAATTAAGTTAACCAACGATTAAGTGATTAGATAAGTTTAGTTTAGGCGGAAGTCACGGAATGAAATAAAAAAATTTAACCAAAATTTATTAAAAATATTTAGTTTATAAAACTTCTTACTTGAATAAAACTGAAATTTGTTCGCATATTCAAAATAAATATCCGAATCTATCTTTAAACGCAAGTATTTTAACTAAAATGTAGTTGATAGCATAAAAATAATTGCAATATATTGTTTTTTTCTTTAAAATTTTAAACTTCAACTTTAAATATATTCTACATTACAATTATGTTCATATGATATAATACCCAGTGGGCACCGGACCAAAAAAAGACGTCTTTTAAGCGTTCTAAAGACATCCAAAACGTTTAAAAGACGTCCAAAAGTGTATAAGTGTATTTTTTACGTCCGTGTCCACTGGGTAAGTCTTATATATATATATATATATATATATATATATATATATATATATATATATATATATATATATATATATATATATATATATATATATATATATATATATATATATATATATATATATATATATATATATATATATATATATATATATATATATATATATATATATAGGTTTATGGTTTATGTTAAAGTAATACAAAAGGTGATAGTTAATAATATGCCTTGAGGCATGAAACTTTAAGTTGTTTTATTACAAATAAACATCCAATATTGTAATTATTACAACAAGTTTCTATTTATAAAAAGTATTAGTGCGCAAACTTTGTTTAATCACAATTAAACAAAGTTTGCACCACTACTACAAAGTTTGCACATTACGGTCATGTAATTATTTTTTATAATTTATAACTTTAATTTTTTTTTCTAATTGACAAAGTGTAACTCTAAAAACAAATTTTGTACACTTTTTTATTTAAACTAAACTTTTAATCTCCTCCCTCTAAAATTTTAGGGGTGAATTCCTTACCCCTAAAATTTTAGGGGAGGGGATTAACTATTTTTCAGTGATTATAGGGCAAAATTAAATTCTTGACGTGGTAACTAACATGTTTGCCCCAACAAGTACAATTTTCATTCACCAAGTTCATATTAGTTTATTGAATATATAACCTAAGTCATAAAACAAAAAAATATTTATAAATAACAAATTTTATACAATTAAGCAAAAATTTGATCATCAAAAACTTTATTCTAACCAACTTTTTTTTTTTAATTGCACAAGAAGTCAAATTCAAGGATATAGAATATAAAGAGAAGATTTTCCGTTATTATTATTGTCATCTATCATCATTAATTTAATGGCAAAAGTAAAATTTTTAACTCAAGATTTGTAAAGTTTAACACTCTTAACTACGGTGCTTAGGCTAATTAGTTTCATTTTGAGATATTTATTTTAGCATCATAAAAAGAACATAATATAAAACGTGCACTAACAACACAGTTGTGCAATAGTATTGTATTACTTGATTAATATATAATTCTAATTTAAAAAATCGCTCTTTTGAGACTTTTGGTTGACACATTTTTGCTACCGATTATAATCTAATTAACTAGTTTAATAGTTAGTAATCGGATTAAAGTTTTTGTATAAATATGATCAAAATTGTCTGTTGTTAAAAGAAAAACACTTATTTTGGTTACAGTGCAGTATCACACGATTGTAAAATGATCATCTTAGCTGTCATCTTTTCTGTTGCCATTCTCGAATCTCAAGCCATTGATCAAAATGCTGTGACAAATACAGTGCTGTCATACATGATGAATTATCAAAAATTAGGCCATTCTGAATTCTCTTCAATTTTATTTGCGCAATTGAAACAACAGTATCCTGATTATTACTTTACCGTCGATGCTTATGCGCCTGTATCAAGTTTTCCAACACACACTGTACATGGTTGGTTTGTTAATGTATTTCGACAATACAATAGAAACGTGGTTGTTGGATGGGCCTTGAAAAGTTCTCGAATTGCACCTGACTCTGTAATACAGGATGTGAGGAAAAAAATTAAAAATTTGTTGTATAATGATGTAAGTTTTTTTTAAAGCATTTTTTTATAAACAATTTATCGTAAATCATTATAAAATAAAATTAATGAAATTAAAAAAATAATGTTTTTAAAAAATGATTCGTTTTTTAGTAAAAATTTACGAAACTCAAAAATATATGAAAGGTGTTCAAAAATATAAAAAAGGTCTTCTAAAATACATAAAAGGTCTTCAAAAAACCATATAGGTCTTCAAAAATACTTAAATGTATTTTGAAAGGTTAAAGAACATTTTCAAGTATACGAATTTCAAATATATTTTAAGTACATCGTCTAATCCATGAATAGGTAAGTAATACGGCAAAATATAGTCGATTGAAATTAAACAAATATTTTTGAAAAAAATATACTGATTTTTTTAATTAAGTTATTATTATATTAAGTTTATTGAAGTTATTAAATGAGAGATTGAATGGAAAATTAAAAAGAAAACCAAAACTATTACTTTTTTTATAACTAATAACTTTTTTTATTGTAAGAATATTTTAAAACTAGTTTATTCAAAAAAAAAGCACCACGAAATGAAGTATACGATTTTGAATATTTAGTTTGAGAAAATGGCTGCTGATTCGATTTATCATTTCTTAAATTAATTTTATGGAATATAATTTATGCAAATTTGTACATAAAAAAGAAAAATGTTTCAATATTGCAAAAAAAAAAACGAGAAATACAATTGAGTAAAACTGCGTTTAAATAAAGCGAACTGTATATAATATTGTTTTTGTATAAATATATAAATTTAGCAACTTAGTTTCTTTTTTGTTTTTGCTTTTATCAACATAAATGTTTTAGAAGTTTAAATTTATTTCTTTTTTTATATGAATCTCATCATTGATAGTCAATATATATATCAAAAGTATTTAACTTTGTTTTTTGTAGCCGGATAAAGGTGTTAATTTTTTATACATTTTTGTTTAAATATTTACAGAGAAGGTATAAATATGACGATACGAGTTTTCGCAGTAAAATGTGCATACATAAGTTTGATTTTGGACTAGGAAGGACTAGGGACTAGTTCTTTTTACTGTACTATTTTTAATATATTTACAAAAAAAAAAAAAGGAAAAAACAAAAATAAAAAAGTTGGTTGTTAATATTGTTTCAATATAGTAATGCATTTTTTATTTCACTAATATCTCAATCTGTAAGTCAGGTACGGTAAATTTGATAAAATTATTAATTATCATTTTCTATAACTTTTTAGATCAATAATGCTGAGCGATGTAACGAGAAAGTATGGAGTGTTGCCACGGCAACTGGATATCCAGTTGTGATGGTTCATACTTGCACTGAAGGGTATTGTGGTCTACGATCAACTTACGAAAAGAATACATACTTTGAAACTATAAGCGGCTATAAAGGCAATAGAATGTCTGTGGTTATTGTATTTGGAAGCCAATAATCAAATTTAAATGTTATATTTGTTAAATTTAGCAATGATCTTATCCTTAATTAGTTGTTTTTAGTTTATATGATTGATTAGCGCGCTAAAAATGGTGAGCATGATTTTAAAGCATTTGACGTAATGTTTATTTCAAAGGGTAAAAGCGTTAATGCGTTAAAGCGTTTTTGAGTTTTCATAAATGAACGGAAGGAGACGGTGGGGTGGTGGTCAAAAAGTTGGCAAGTTACAAAAGTACCTTTTAGAGGATGATTTTATTTATTATTCATGAAAACGAGTATATATATATATATATATATATATATATATATATATATATATATATATATATATATATATATATATATATATATATATATATATATATATATATATATATATATATATATATATATATATATATCTGTGTGTGTGTGTGTGTGTGTGTGTGTATGCGTGTTATAGGATAATTAAATACAGATATGTAAGTAATAAAGCTAAGAGTATCATTGTATAACCAAATCAGTGCGTATCAAAAACATGAACGCCTTTCGCTCACTAATTGTCATATAGAGGTCACATACCAAGGCCCGCGAAGACGAGATATGTTCACTAAGGAGCATCATAACCTGCTCCAAGAGTAATAAGATTAAGAAGAATGAAGGATAAAAGAGTAAAAATTAGATAAAGTTGAGTTAGATAGATAGCATAGAGAAAGCGGACATATATAGTTGTTAAAGTGTGCAATTATAAGTAGTGTTGAAATTGTGCAGCTCTAGTGGTTAAATATACATGATATCTATTATTAACTAAAATACTGTTAGATGTTTTTTGCTATCGTATTTTGCCTAGCTTTATAGCTAGCGATAATATTACGATATCTCGATAGCTACAGATTGTAGGTATGCAGCTAACCATATCATAACAAAAAATCTATAGCTAATGAATAGATTCATATCGCTGCGTTTTAGCTAGCGATATCATTATGACATTTAGACAGCTATATATCGAAGCTATTAAGCCAACTATTTACAAACAACAAATCGATAGCATGTCGATAACTTAATATTACGGCTTTGTAACAAGCATTATTATTATAATACAAGCTGTCAGTGCCCTTAAAATACGGGTCTTGGGAAATTTATTCCACATCGCCCTTTTCTATACTAATTCCTTACTTTAATATTTTGTAGTGAGCTGTAGAAAAATAGTTACATACATATAGAAAAACTATACTTATTGTTTTCTTCTTAAAGTTATGAAAAATAAAACTTTTTATTATAATTAACCTTATAAAACTTTAAATGTTACGCTAACCGTTGCGCAAATCGCCGATTGGATATATTAGTACCTGTCTAAATACCCACTTGAAACGTGACTATCGGTATAAAAAGTTTCACTTTACCGGACCAGTAAAATACGGGTCTTTACAAAACCGACCACTTCTATACTAATTTATTCCACACAGATCATTTTTTATTAACTTTAATATTATTTGGTAAAATAAAATAATTCTAAAATTTTCTATATAAATTGCTTTAAGCGCGGATCCAGACAAAAAAGGCAAAAAAAAATTTACATGCGTATCTTTTCCGTATAGGGATCTTATAAGAGTATCTTATATAAGTAGATCTTATAAGAGATTTATAAAATAGTTTGTTATTTTCCTAAACGGAGAAACCCTATTCCATATTGACTTTGTCTGTATTTCTCCTACTATTATTTTTAGTGAACAATGAGCAAAAATAAAAGTTCACATACCTTTTCCGTATACATAGAATTTATCAAAACCTTTTCCCCATACATTTATTTTGAATGATAAAATCTGAAGGTAATTACTAAAAAATTTAGTAATTACTTTCAGATTAAAACAGACAAATGCGAAAAAGTAACTATAGTAAAACTTTTACCCTCTTAATAAAATAATATTTATTTTCAAAGCATTTGAGAACCAGTAAAACAGGTCATGGGGAGCTCGACATGTTAAATAAATTAAATTGATCTGTTTTTCTGCATTAAAAAAAAAAACAGAAAAAACCCATATATGTGAAGTACTTGATATGAGAACCGATAATATTAGATTTAGATTATTCAATACAAAGTGATAGGAAACCGCAAAATAGTAACAACGTGAAAATTATTCAAATACTAATTTACAACAATTTGAACTGCAATTTAATAAAATATCTTTTAATAAATACAGTACAGTCTCTCTAATTCGAAATTTATGTGGAAAAATAAAAGTTTGAATTAGAGAGATTTTCGAATTATAGAAAGTTGATTTTTTTTCAAATATTCTTTTCAAAGTAACGAATAGAAGACAAACAAACAAATAGTAATTATTAGGCCTGAAAGTAATAAATGTTATGTGTTTTAAACTTTTAAATTTGAAAAAAAAGTCAGTAATTCTAGATTGTCTTTTATGAGCTAGTAAATTCATGTCAAAGACAAGATTTATATCTTTAAGAGCTTTTGTTAGGTTTGTTTACTACGTAATACGAATCAACTTTTACCCGTTGAGTCAAATTTCCTTTACAAAAAGCGTAAAAGATATTATTTTAATGCTTTTTACAGGTTGAAAGAGTGTTTGGTGGAATATCATCAATTTTTGAAACCTCTTTATTTGGTTTTCCTTTCTTCAATTCCATTAAAGTTTTTTAATTCAGCATTAAATTGTTTTCTTTATGTCTCTTTGATGTCATGATTTTTTTTAAACAGTAAAAGATAATTTACACTAATCGTTTTTCAAATACTCAAAATTTGAAAAAAGATTTTGACGGTTTAATGAGCTTTTTACACGCGAGAAATTAAAAAAATTCGATTTACAGAGAAAATCTTACTGACGGGTCTAAAAAATTCATTTGAATTGTGGAGGTTTTCGAATTATAGAGACTCGAATTTTAGAAAGTTAAACGTAAGAGTTTCTTAAGCGCATTTCACAGAGACTTTCCATTTAATCGAATTATGGAGGTTTTTGAATTATGGAGAACCAAATTAGAGAGATTTTGTTGTAGTATGAAGTTTGATGATTCTTCTTCTTTGCCTTTATAAAATGATTAAAGATTTAAAGACTTTTAAATTGATTATAAAAGCATATCTACCTGAAAATGAAATAAAATTATTACATAAAACACATTACTTGATACTGATCCTGTTGGTACGTCTGGGAAAGCAAAAAAAAAAAAGTTAAAAAAATTAAAATAAACTTCATATAAACATAAAAAAATTGAAAGTTTATGTTTTAATAGACATAACACCCACAAAACAACATAAGTATGCAAAACACACAACCTGAAATAATTGCCCGGGCTACTGTTGTAGAAGCAAATAATAAAAAAAAATTTAAGTTTGAATTAACACAAATGTAACAATGATAAAATTGCCTACAAAATTAAAAAAAACTTCATTAATATGCGTGTTTGTTTTTTGGCAACTTTTAAAGCTGGCATGGAATTGAAAATATCTGCAGTTGTTGCCACTCTGGAAATACTCTGTATTTTTATTGAGGCAATATCATTGTACAGGTTAATAACTGTTGGTAGCCCCTTCAACTCAACTTTTAGTTCCGAGATGTCAACATCATTAAAAAAATGGCATTCCAAATAAAAACGGTGGAGAATCTTGTTTATTCACCGATGAAATCAAAAGTTCTTCTATATTTTTTACAGCTGTTAATATATTCTGTTTAAATCTCTCACTCAAACTGTTATGAATAGCATCAGTTGCTTCAAAATAAGATTTTGTTTTTGCTCTGATTTGACAGGACCGTCATTGCACTGCCCAACGCAAGCTTCTCAGTAAATACTGAATTGCGTAAGTTTTTAGGTATTACTTTTTATCTATCCGTAACTTCGGTTTCAGACTCATTGTCTTGCTTGATTCCAGGTATTTTTTTGTCGCCTTTAAAATTTTATTAAGTTCCTTATCTTATCTAAGTTCTGCAAATCTCTGAGACGCATTTTGAATGCAGAATACTGCGGCATGACCTGTCAGATTAATTTCTTGAAACTGCTTTGATAGATTATCTAGAATAGCAAAAAATTCAAAAGTGCTATGCAGTTCAAAAAGTGTTTTTACTGATGAAAACTGAGATAATAAACTTTTAATATGTGCTCTTGTTTTTGCAGCAAAAGTCCTGTCACTCTAAAGACAGTTCAATACTGTACGGAGTTCTGCAATCTTCTCCAACACCACTTGTACTGCTTTTGTTCGTGTTATCCATTTTGGTCACCTATCTTATCTGTTTATTTTATTAAGGTAACACGCCGATGACTAGTCATAGACATAGATTTCAGTTGCAATACTTTGTATTCAACTAATTCAGACTCATGCAGTATATTCTTTTGAATTTGTTCGAAAAAGGCAACACGCTTTGGATATGCCCCAACAATTGCATAAATTGACTAGACAATACTGAGAGAATTTGACAGTAGTGATGATATTCTATATGTATCCTTAACAATCAGCTCGCTGCAAATTTACCATGCAATGAAAATATAGTGCTTGCTGTCCAAAAATATTTTTCAGTTTTGCTGCAAAGCATTTCATAACAATTGCTCCATCAAAGTCAATTTCGGCAACTTTTGTATATTCCAAATTGCATCCCAAAAGGATATCTTCAATATATGTCACCAATGTTAACGCATTCATATACTCCAATAAAATCTTCATTCACTTCATTATTGTTGCTGGAAGAGACAATGATGAAGTGAATGAAGATTTTATTGTAAGTGAATGATTTCTTATATTAAACATTTGTTCCTTTATAGTAATATCTGCGGATTTATCTGCAAGTACTGACTAGAAATGTTTATCTTTAATCAGTTCAACAATCTGCTTTTGTGCTTCTAAGGTGAGACGGTGAGAAGGTGAGAAGTTGTTCTTGCTCCGTGTTCTTAATCCTTTCCTGATTCCATGCTTGAACACTCCACCAGAACATAAATCTTATTTTGTACAAATTTCACAAAAAACAGCTTTCAGTGATCGATCATAAAATAACCTAATGAAATCATTAAACCAAGTATTAATACAAGTTCTTCTTTTTTTGTTAGTGTTTTTTTTAATCAATTTC